ACAACAGTGAGAGGAAGAGTTTTGTGTGTTTGAGGAGCCAAAAGAAGGTGCATTAAGCAAGGGGGAGAGATAGTCGGTGATAGTGTGGAGAGGTTGGCAGAGACCAGATCTGCTGGAGCCAGGCGGGTCATGGTAAAGACCTTTGCCTTTTATTCCAAGTGTAATCTCTGGAGAAGTTTTCAGCAGAGAGGAGTCTGACTTCCATTTTGAAAGATGGTGCTGGATATCATGAGAAGAGAGGGAGGGGGTGGTGGTGAGGTGAGGACAAGAAAAGAATAAGTGAGAGAAGGTGGAGACTGTTGCAGTAACTTGGGTGAGATGTGATGGTGATCCTCAGATGACTTTGGGAAACACTGCTCCGGAGACTCCTGGCTGTGGATTCTCCCACTGTCTGCAAAGGGGGCATCTGATCAGAAGGTTCTAAGAATCCAGACTCTCTGAAAACTAGGGATATAAAGGAACTTGCAAAAAGAGCAGAAGAGTCCATATTCCAATGCACCTGTTGGAACCCTAGTTTGAGGGAGCCAATTGTAAAAAGTAAATTTTGAAACAGTTGGGGAATTTCTAATATGAACTGGTAGGAGTTATCACTGATTTTGTTAGACATAACAATGGCATTATAACTACAGAAGAAAATGTCTGTATTTTCTAGAGATGCATACTTACCATGTGAGGATGAAACAAGAGCTACCTGACTGGATTGAATTTGAGTTTGAATCACCTTTTTTATTTTCTTGAGGTTGAATTACCTCTTTATTTTCTCAAGTTTGAATTGCCTTTTTTATTTCTCTAGCTGTGGGAGGTATAGGTCTTAAGAAAAGTGCTGTACACCTCAGAACTGCACAGTCTTTTGATAGAGCTGAGAGAAAAAGTGACGAGAAAAATGAACTGATTTAAAAGTTATTTATATACCTTCCTAAAGGCTTGAAAATTGAGGGAGGAACCTCTTGCCATCATCTTTAGGGAAATGCAAACATTCACATCCTTGTAATGAAAGTTAAGGTGGATTTTAAGTATTAGGCAGCCTTCTGCCCTGGATATTTTATCTGTGGGAGCCAGATGGCCCCAAAGCAGGGAAGGTGGCTCCTCCAATGGTCCTCCAGAATTCCTACTTATAAGGGATTTTGTATGTGATCTGCATTTGCCTCTTTTCTCTGTATCCATTTAGAGAAATAAAGTAAATTTAGACCTTGAATTTCACATATTAAGTGTCAAATCGATTAGCCTCTTTTTGTTAACAAATGCCTTCCTTGCACTGATTAAATATAACCCTAATGCATACTTAAGAGAAGAGATACACAGGTTTGATGAGAGCCCAGGTCTGTAAAACTGCAAGGTTTTCAATTTAGGAAGAAACAAAGTCGATAATGATATATACGTATATTTCACTGTGAAGCAGATGGCAGTGAGAGTGTTAAGTGGAACATTACAAACAGTAAATGAACACAACCACACAGAGTATCTAGTACTTGAATATCTTTCCCTGAAAAGAACAAAAGTAATGCATATCTTCTTGAAGATGATTGAAACTTATCATTTCAAAGGAATTCTGCATTATTCATAGGCCCCTGAAAATCCTCTCTTTATTTTTCCATGTTGGATCTAAGATCTAATATGTTTTCTTAGCAGTATATACTATCATTCACATGTTTATTTTGATCTCTTGGGAGAGTCCTAATTATTCAACTTTTTGTTTTTCTCTTCCTGAGTTCTGCCTTAGAAAGAGTTATTTAGGTTTCATAGACTTTCTGAGTTACAAAGGATCTTCAAGGACATCTAGTCAACTTCCTGCTCAGTGCAGGAAACCTCTCTTGATAGTTCTTGTAACAGGAAGTCAACTTCTGCCAGAACACTTCCTGTGTAAGAGAATTCACAGTTTATTCCTCTTCCAGGGAGCTCTAAATATTCATATTCTAATACTTACTGAATCCTACTATTAGGATTTGATATGTATCAAGCACATTGCAACTTACAGTTTTTTAAATATAGTTTTTATATAGTTTTATTAGATCATAACAACCTTCTATTTGCTAAATTCAGTGCACATCCTTTAATTTTCTTCTTGGACTTCTGCAGCATTTTGCACCATTATCCACTTCTTTCCTGTCTTGGTTCCTTTAACTTTCTTTCCCAGTTTTTCTCCTTTCCATGTGACTTTCTCTTCTAAGTCTCTGTGTGAAGGTCTTTTCATCTGGGGACTGCTTAAATGCTCTCCATTCTTTTGTCTTGGCCCTTTCCTGTGTCCATTTCCCTGAAATGCTTTATCCATGTCTAGAGCTTTGTCATCAATAGTCTCAATAATGTCTCCATCCCTGACTTGTCTCCTCAGCTTCAGTCCTTTGTATATAGGTATGTCCTGGAATTTTCCAGACTCCCACAGTCACCTCAAATTCATCATTTCTAAAGCTGAAGTGTAGCCATTTTCTTTACCAAAATTTTGATAAATTCATTTTCCAGATGAATTTTTGGAACTCTTTTCCATTAGAACTATGATCCATCTTCTTCTTTTTCATTAGAACTATGATTTATCTAAACCAAAGTCTCAATGTTGTCTTCACCTATTTCCCTTCTCTACTCCTAAAGCCACCACCTTAGTTCAGGCTCCCCTTACCACTCAGGTTGGTGCTGTCTCCCAACTCATCCACTGCTTCCAGTCTTAGACCCCTTTATCCCATCTCCACACTGCAGCCACCCTGTGGGCTTTCTAATAAAATGAAATCTGTCCCCTAGACTGAAACTCTCCAGTTGCCTCTGGAATCAAGCCCAGACTCCCCAGCATGGCCAGTGAGGAAGCCCTTTGTGAAAGGATGCCCATCTCTGTTTCCAGCATAACCCCTCTTCAGCACACCCTGCCATCTAGTCATTCCAAGTACTTGCCATCACCCTGAATACACCAGCTTCTACCTGTGTACTATTCGCTTTGCCAGGAATATTTCTTGGATTATGAGAAATTTCTTCTTTTAAAATACCCATACCATTGCAGCTTGATTGCCTGTACCTAGCTTTATTACTGTTCTCTGAGTTCCTGGAGATAAGCATAAAATGTAAGTCATGTTTCTCATCCCAATGCCTGGTCCAATATCTAGAACATATAAAAATTTTGAGTTATATTCTGTGTTTAAACCATATGAAATTGAACATTTCAGTTGCCCTTCTTTGGACATGCTATAACTTTCTTATGTTCCCCTTCTAATATGTAGGTAGAAATTAACACAGTGATGTGTCTCACCCAGTGAAGATTTTCAAGTGGGACTGTTTATCCACTTGAAAAGCACATCTTTCTACCAATATAGTTCCAAATAATAGTCACTACACTAGTAGAGTGCCTTCTGTGTGCCAGATGTGGTGGTAAATGTTGGAAATAATCTCTTTACTCATCAAACCAACTCTGTGGGGTAGACAATGTAATCTCCATTTTATAGATTAGGAAGCTGAAGCTTAGAGAGTTTGACACTTGTCCAAGCAAAGACCTGGTGAAGTTGGGATTCAAACTGCATCCATGTGACTGCAAAACCCAGGCTTTTTGTGCTACTAAGTGCTGCCTTTGGAATTTTTCAGTAGTCTAATCAGTTACTTAAAACTTGTGAGCTTGGAGTCAGGTAAAATCCATCATGACCCCCTTCTCCGTTCTATATTTGCATGATTGATCATTTCAGTCTATGTGCTAGAGTCTACATTTATACTTACTAAAAAGCATACAGCTAGTTTTTATTATTGTTAATCATCATCATCCTTGTGACCTAATGATATTTCAGCAACAGAGATGAATTTCTTTTGACAAAGCTCAGTTTTAGAGAATACAAGCTACTGGATCTTGGTGACCACTGACTTTTTTTCCCCCAAGGGTCTCATATTATTTGCTCAATAATCCTTGCTGGAATTGACATCAAAGCACTGGCTTTATTTCTTGGAATATATCTCCTTTCTTTCTCTTTGAAAATCAGGATAGAATGAACCCATCTTTTCTTTGGTGACACTTCTCTACTTCTCCATGAATTTTTAAAGATGATGACAATGCTTTTACTGCTACAGGTTTTTTGTACCCTTCTCTATCATCCGTCTGATCTAGACACTTGGATTCCCTTTTATGCCTTCTCAATGTTGTGGTGTTAGACAATATGGACTAAATGTGGTCCTAAGACGCCCAAGAGGTCAGACTTTTGTATATGTAGGGAATTAAGTGGCATGTGAATGGTTCTACTCTGAAAATACACTTTACTGCTTTGAAGCTACTTGAAGAAAGTCTATATAAAATAAAAGCTACAGAGGCAAAGAGACAGGAAAACTCAAATATGTTCCTAGTGGATATTCAAGGGATGTTTTTTCCAAGTTTTAATAATTTGGGGAATGCCTATAGTAAAGGTATTCCACCAAATGGAGCATCAACTTTCCTCCAATGAAATGAAATGTCAAAAAGGCTTCACCAGTTTTCAAATATCATAGCACTGGAGCCACACCATTCTAAAAGAGACTGGGCAAAGATATCACAGATTTGTCACTTCCAAAATATCTAAACCGGGCTTCCCTGGTGGCGCAGTGGTTGAGAGTCCGCCTGCCGATTCAGGGGACGCGGGTTTGTGCCCTGGTCCGGGAAGATCCCACATGCCACGGAGCGGCTGGGCCCTTGAGCCATGGCCGCTGAGCCTGCGCGTCCGGAGCCTGTGCTCCGCAACGGGAGAGACCACAATGAGAGGCCCGCGTACCGCAAAAAAAAAAAAAAAAAAAAATATATATATATATATATATAAACCGAAACTTATTCAAGGAAAAAAATATAAAAGGTGGTTCAAAAGGACTAGGTCCTAACATAATATATAGAGCAGATCTGGTAGCAGATAGAAACTATTACAAAATGATTCATAATGTTGCCATGCAAATGAAAAGGAATGGCTTTTTTTTTTTTTTTTGGAATGGCTTATTTAATGATGTATTAGGGTCCAATAAAAAGACAAAAGCTGCACAGTAATCTGAAGTGGGAAAGTGCAATGTAAAGAATTATCGTGCTTGCTTTAGCAGCACATATATTAAAATTAGAACAATACAGAAAAGATTAGGGTGGTCCCTGTGCAAGGATGACATGCAGATCTGTGAAGAGTTCCATATTTTAAAAAAAGAATTATTAACAGTTGATTGGAGTCATGGGAGATTGCCTCACAAGAGACCCTAAAAAATACAGAAATAGCAGATACTGTAAAGAACAGACATCACTCCTAGAACAGAGATGGAGCACTGAGCAAGAGGCCACCCCCACCCAGGGCTGAGATCCAGACTAGGTTGGAGAGGGTGCAGTGTGGCTCCCAAGATGACAGGGAAGTCCCCCAAGGTGTCACACAGGTGGGGTCTCTAGGAGTCCACCTCCTCGAGTGCTGGAGGACACTGATATCAGGGCACTGCCATATTTTAGAACTCACTCAAGCCATCCAAGGCAAGGTGCATTGCTGGCAGCCCTCCCTATGAAGTCCCCGGAGGAGAGTGTGCAAGAAAAACCATTTATGGTCATCCTCCTGTGACCAGGCTGCTGTGAAGCCGCCACAGGGCGTGGTGCTGGGGGAAGCTGTCAGGGGCCACTTGCTGCTGGTCACCAAAACTGCTGAAAAGAGCCCCTCCTACTGCAGGAGCCCCATGAGATGAGTGCACTTGACCAGGAGGAGACACCTCTTCCTTCTCCGTGTCCCTCCAGCACCCTCTGGTGATAAAGTCTCCGATTGGACCAGATGGCAAGGAGAAATATTTATAGAGTCCACTTCCATTATTGGAGAACATAAAGAACGGGTGGATTCGGAGCTGAGAGGCAATAAATTGATAACTGACATAAATGGCACCTGGAAAAAAATCTTCGTTGATATAAAGACGGAAATTCCTAGACTCTAGTGACAGATAATAACTGTTTTTTTCTACTTTCTAATCAACCATAGTGACTTTATTTATTCACAGAAAGATTTATTCACATTAGATGATTAAACAATTTGAAGGCCAGGACATTCTATTCTAGAGAAACCAAATTAATCATAAATTAGAAAACCAAGTATAAATTGTGTAGATCTGTAAAGACTATTGTAGTTTCATGATAAATGTTTATGGAATTGACTTGAATTACAAAGTACCTTATTTGTTTTTTTATTTTTTTAATCATTTGTTTATTTTTCCCATGTTCAATATTAGTTATCTATCTTATACACATCAGTGTATACATGTCAATCCCAATCTCCCAATTCATCACACCACCACCACCACACCCCACCTTCCCCCCTTGGTGTCCATACGTTTGTTCTCTACATCTGTGTCTCTATTTCTGCCTTGCCACCCGGTTCATCTGTACCATTTTTCTAGGTTCCACATATATGTGTTAATATACGATATTTGTTTTTCTCTTTCTGACTTACTTCACTCTGTATAACAGTCTCTAGGTCCATCCATGTCTCTACAAATGACCCAGTTTCGTTCCTTTTTATGGCTGAATAATATTCCATTGTATATTTGTACCACATCTTCTTTATCCATTCGTCTGTCAGTGGGCATTTAGGTTGCTTCCATGACCTGGCTATTGTAAATAGTGTTGCAGTGAACATTGGGGTGCATGTGTCTTTTTGAATTATGGTTTTCTCAGGGTATTTGCCCAGTAGTGGGATTGCTGGGTCATATGGTAGTTCTATTTTTAGTTTCTTAAGGAACCTCCATAATGTTCTCCATAGTGGCTGTATCAATTTACATTCCCACCAACAGTGCAAGACGGTTCCCTTTTCTCCATACCCTCTCTAGCATTTGTTGTTTGTAGATTTTCTGATGATGCTATTCTAACCAGTGTGAGGTGATACCTCATTGCAGTTTCGATTTGCATTTCTCTAATAATTAGTGATGTTGAGCATCTTTTCATGTGCTTCTTGGCCATCTGTATGTGTTCTTTGGAGAAATGTCTATTTAGGTCTTCTGCCCATTTTTTGACTGGGTTGTTTGTTTTTTTAATATTGAGCTGCTTGAACTGTTTATATATTTTGGAGATTAATCCTTTATCTGTTGATTCATTTGCAAATATTTTCTCCCATTCTGAAGGTTGCCTTTTCATTTTGTTTCTAGTTTCCGTTGCTGTGCAAAAGCTTTTAAGTTTCCTTAGGTCCCAATTGGTTATTTTTGTTTTTATTTCCATTGTTCTAGGAGGTGGGTCAAAAAAGATCTTGCTGTGATTTATGTCAAAGAGTATTCTTCCTATGTTTTCCTCTGAGAGTTTTATAGCTTCTGGCCTTACATTTAGGTCTTTAATCCATTTTGAGTTTATTTTTGTGTATGGTGTTAGAGAGTGTTCTAATTTCATTCTTTTACATGTAGCTGTCCAGTTTTCCCAGCACCACTTATTGAAGAGACTGTCTTTCTCCACTGTATATCCTTGCCTCCTTTGTCATAGATTACCTGACCATAGGTGCGTGGGTTTATCGCTAGGCTTTCTATCCTGTTCCATTGATCTATATTCTTGTTTTTGTACCAGTACCATATTGTCTAGATTGCTGTAGCTTTGTAGTATAGTCTGAAGTCAGGGAGTCTGATTCCTCCAGCTCCATTTTTTTCCCTCAAGATTGCTTTGACTATTTGGAATCTTTTGTGTTTCCCTACAAATTTTAAGATTTTTTGTTCTAGTTCTGTAAAAAATGCCACCGGTAATTTGATAGGCATTGCATTGAATCTGTAGATTGCTTTGGGTAGTATAGTCATTTTCACAATATTCATTCTTCCAATCCAAGAACATGGTATATCTCTCCATTTATTGGTATCATCTTTAATTTCTTTCTCAGTGTCTTATAGTTTTCTGCATACAGGTCATTTGTCTCCCTAGGTAGGTTTATTCCTAGGTATTTTATTCTTTTTGTTGCAATGGTAAATGGGAGTGTTTCCTTAATTTCTCTTTCAGATTTTTCATCATTCGTGTATAGGAATGCAAGAGATTTCTGTGCATTAATTTTGTATCCTGCTACTTTACCAAAATCATTGATTAGCTCTAGTAGTTTTCTGGTGGCATCTTTAGGATTCTCTATGTATAGTATCATGTCATCTTCAAACAATGACAGTTTTACTTCTTCTTTTCCGATTTGGATTCCTTTTATTTCTTTTTCTTCTCTGATTGCTGTGGCTAGGACTTCCAAAACTATATTGAATAGTAGTGGTGAGAGTGGACATCCTTGTCTTGTTCCTGATCTTAGAGGAAATGCTTTCAGTTTTTCACCATTGAGAATGATGTTTGCAATGGGTTTGTCATATATGACCTTTATTATGTTGAAGTATGTTTCCTCTATGCCCATTTTCTGTAGAGTTTTTATCATAAATGGGTGTTGAATTTTGTCAAAAGCTTTTTCTGCATCTAATGAGATGATCATATGTTTTTTTTATTCAATTTGTTAATATGGTGTATCACATTGATTGATTTGCATATATTGAAGAATCCTTGCATCCCTGGGATAAATCCCACTTGGTCATGGTGTATGATCCTTTTAATTTGTTGTTGGATTCTCTTTGCTAGCATTTTGTTGAGGATTTTTGCATCTATATTCATCAGTGATATTGGTCTGTAATTTTCATTTTTTGTAATATCTTTGTCTGATTCTGGTATCAGGGTGATGGTGGGCTCACAGAATGCGTTTGGGAGTGTTCCTTCCTCTGCAGTTTTTTGGAAGAGTTTGAGAAGGATGGGTGTTAGCTCTTCTCTAAATGTTTGATAAAATTCACCTGTGAAGCCATCTGGTCCTGGACTTTTGTTTGTTGGAAGATTTTTAATCACAGTTTCAATTTCATTACTTGTGATTGGTCTGTTCATATTTTCTATTTCTTCCTGGTTCAGTCTTGGAAGGTTATACCCTTCTATGAATTTGTCCATTTCTTCCAGGTTGTCCATTTTATTGGCATAGAATTGCTTGTAGTAGTCTCTTAGGTTGCTTTGTATTTCTGCGGTGTCTGTTGTAACTTCTCCTTTTTCATTTCTAATTTTATTGATTTGAGTCCTCTCCCTCTTTTTCTTGATGAATCTGGCTAATGGTTTACCAATTTTGTTTATCTTCTCAAAGAACCAGCTTTTAGTTTTATTGATCTTTGCTATTGTTTTCTTTGTTTCTGATTCATTTATTTCTGCTCTGATCTTGATGATTTCTTTCATTCTGCTCACTTTGGGTTTTGTTTTTTCTTCTTTCTCTAGTTCCTTTAGGTGTAAGGCTAGATTATTTATTTGAGATTTTTCTTGTATTTTGATGTAGGCTTGCATAGCTATAAACTTCCCTCTTAGTACTGCTTTTGCTGCATCCCATAGGTTTTGGATAGTCGTGTTTTCATTGTCATTTGTCTCTAGGTATTTTTTGAGTTCCTCATTGATTTCATCAGTGATCTCTTGGTTATTTAGTAATGTATTGTTTAGCCTCCACGTGTTTGTGTTTTTTACGTTTTTTTCCCAGTAATTCGTTTCTAATCTCATAGTGTTGTGGTCAGGAAAGATGCTTGATATGATTGCAATTTTCTTAAATTTACTGAGGCTTGGTTTGTGACCCAAGATGTGATCTATCCTGGAGAATGTTCCTTGTGCACTTGAGAAGAAAGGGTAATCTGCTGTTTTTGGATGGAATGTCCTATAAATATCAATTAAATCTCTCATGTCTATTGTGTCATTTAAAGTTTCTGTTCCCTTATTTATTTTCATTTTGGATCATTTGTCCATTGGTGTAAGTGAGGTGTTAAAGTCCCCCACTATTATTATGTTACTGTCGATTACCTCTTTTAGAGCTGTTAGCAGTTGCTGTATGTATTGAGGTGCTCCTATGTTGGGTGCATATATATTTATAATTGTTATATCTTTTTCTTGGATTGATCCCTTCATCATTATGTAGTGTCTTTCCTTGTCTCTTGTAACATTCTTTAAAGTCTGTTTAATCTGATATGAGTATTGCTACTCCAGCTTTCTTTTGATTTCCATTTGCATGGAATATCTTTTTCGATCCCCTCACTTTCAGTGTGTATGTGTCCCTAGGTCTGAGGTGGGTCTCTTGTAGATGGCATATTTATGGGTCTTGTTTTTGTATCCATTCAGCAAGCCTGCATCCTTTGGTTGGAGCATTTAATCCATTCACGTTTAAGGTA